ACCCACCGGACCCAAGACTCTTCTTGGAGCCCGAACCCGCCGATTTGAGACGCAATGCCTTCTTCATCCTGCTGACAGCTACAGAAGTGAGCGATCTCTGCAACGCCGGCGAGCTGTTGGGCGAGTTGGCGTGCTAGGTCGGTGAGTCCAAGTGAGAAGAAGCGAGAGACGATGTGAAAGCCAGGGCCTTTCCGGTGGATGTGTGGTAGGCGGCGACGAAGATCTCAGTGGAGCAGACAATATTATCGATTACGACTTTGCAAAGCAAAAGAAGCTGTGGTCAGTGGAGAGAACAAAATTTCTGAAAATGTGATATGGGTGCAATCAGTCGACAATAAAGATGTATTTATATGTGATAGTTTTAAAAATTTTGGGAAAGGGTGGTATTTTTAGTTAAAATTATGAAATGGGTGGCATTGGAGGCCATTTCCCTAAACTAAACTTATTTTAAGGAAATGTGAATTCATATTTACACAAGAGGGTATTTTGGTAAATGAGGACAGCTAAGCGGCAATTTTAAAGTTCGGTTTTTACCCTTGTCCACCCATTTTATACTGGAGGAGATCGTGCTCCTTATTTTTGATTGATTGTATAAAATCAATAGTCAAAACGATGCTGTCTCAAACTTTCAAAACTCAAATACTTGTTTCAGTTTAATCGTTTTTCTGTTGTCTGGTTTTCATTAAAACATGGCCTTATATGTTCGATCACATTTGTAGGACGTATCTTGAATGAAAATATCGACAAGTATACACATGCTGTCTACATGCGTTTCCAGAGAAAAGAAGACATGGGGAAGTTTTACGAGAACCCTTTCTACTTGCGAGTACTCAATGAGCATGTATTGCCTTACTGCCATGTATGCCCTGACATGTAAACACCGACACTCTGTGCTTTAGGCTTCCATTTCTTTAGTTTCTGCTTTATCAACTTTCCTTTGAATAGTTTAGTATTTTTTTCAACTTATTGGTAATGTACATGAACAGGGATTGACTAATGTGGATTACGAATCTGAAGTAGAAGATGATATCATACCTATATTCTGAAAATGAGAGGTTGGAAGCAACATCCATTCCAATATTTTATACCAGCTAGTATAGAGTTTGATTCTTGCCTAATTTGAGGTGCAGACACATTTTGGAATTATAGCTCTTAGATTTGTCTCCATTGCATGCCACAGTAGACTAGCATGTGTTTTATCAATTGAAGTATTGATAGCTTTTCTGTTTATCATGTGTTTTATCAATTGAAGTATTGATAGCTTTTTTGTTTGTCACATCCATGAAGGATGTATTTTTACTTTATTTTTTTTTATGTAGTCCAAACATAATGTCACGGATAAAAACCAGCTTCGTTCTTTAATACGGAAATATCCAGAGGGCATAGCTGTCATTGATCTCAAGGATGCATACCCGAATGTGATGGACGATTTGCAGGTAAATGATTATTAACTAAATAAATTTCTGAATTATTATGTCTCCTACAATAAAATATTAATAAGGAAAATTATTTTTTAGGCTTTGAAAGCTGCAGGTGACATCTGGCTGCTTTCAAACTTCGATTCCCAAGAGGACATAGCATATCCAAATGACCCCAGGTTGCCTGCGATGAATGTTGATGATGAGCTTAAGGTGCTCTTTAGGTCGATTGAATTACCTCGTGATATTATTGACATTGAGAAAGAACTCCAAAAGAATGGGATGAAGCCGGCAACGGATACTGCAAAGAGGAGGGCCTTGGCTCAGAGTCAAGGCATTCCTAACAAAGCCAAACCCAAGAAGAAGAAGCACGAGATTAGCAAGAGGACAAAGCTTACAAACGCCCATCTACCAGAGCTATTTTCTAGACCCTAAAAAGTTAGGTGAAGCTGCTATGTGAAAGGTCTGCAAGATGTTATGGATGTAAGCAGATTGTACAAAACATATTGGAAGACAGATAAGATAGCCCAAAAATGTACTTGAAATATCCCCTATATTTTTTGCTCCGAAATGCCAGTTTAAGGATTGAATTTGTTCTTATCAAATGCTATGATTTAGGAACCTGAAAATTTTACTCCTACGTTTCAGTTAGTTCATACATTTCAGCATTCAATTTCATGCAAGCCACACAACCAAAAGACTGGAATGTTTTATTATTTTGTTGAGATATGATATATGATGACATTCAACAGAAAAATGTCCATTAGACAAGCTTCCTAAACAAACTCAACCTCCTTCATCAGCTTCCACTAATCAAAGCTGAAGAGCTGACGAGTTATATCTTGTAACAAAAATTAAAGTTGGAAGTTTTATGGCATATTACTAGTTTGGTCTAGCTGTCCTTAATCTCCACTAAAAAAGAAGGTGGAAGTTTTAAGAGGCATCAGCCATACCTTCACTCAACACATTTTTATTTCTATTTAATTTATGTTCTTTATGATTCTTTTTTTCTATTTTTATGATTATTAAGTCCAATATCACACTGAACTTATCTATATATATAAAGCAAAAGGCAAAGAATGGTGAAACATTCAAAATACAAGAATTGAAATTATTAATTAAATGAGGATGGTATGGTAAATTCACATTTTTTTCATATTAAAAAAATTAAAATTAAAAACAAAATCATATAATAAATCATACTTTTATAGAACATAACTACTCATATTATCTTTTATTAATTCTAAAAATAAAAAAGACAATATAGTCTGCTACGTAACGATTGGGACTGTTGGCTGGTGCAAGAGCCTCAATGCAAGGAGGCTTCTTTAATTCAATTGATATTGCAATTTGGACTCCGCTTTGTATTAGTGGTAGCAGGTTCTACGGTGGAGGTTTTACAAAGGGATAAACTTACAAAACCACGTCGTATTAAGGAAGGTTCAACGCTTTGTATTAATGGCATCAGGTCGTATTGCGAATTCATAGGGCAGGTTTCATCTTTCTTTATTTGGACAAAATGGAACATCTAGAAGTGCTGAATATATCTCACTGCCTCCTTAAAGAGGACTCCGAATCTCCAGGATCGTTGTCGAACATAAACATCTCGACAAGTCAATCCTTGACCTCACGGCTCAAGATGTTTCTTTTTTGTCAGAGAGAGTCCTGCATAGTGTAATAATGTCTGAACTATAAATGTGGACATGCTGTAAATAAAGCTTGTTTTTGTAGACTATTTCCTTTTCTTGCGGCAGATAGCTTGTGTTAAGCCTGAATACGTCTATAAAGGTCTTTTTTTTTTCTGATGAACAGAGCAACCTTAGACATTTTTTGAGCTCCAGAACTTCTGGACTAGAAGGATCATCAATTGTAACCTTAGCTGTCCAAAAATTAAGGACAATTAGTAACTCTAGTAATGTGATTTACGTACTTCTCCGATGGTGAACAACGTATTCTACAACAGTTATTTTGATTGTGCCTGGCTAGTACGCAATAGATTACAAATTCAAGTCGTCACTCAATTTAATAATGTTCCTTGATAAGGACATTAATCGCATAATTTGCGTCTTCAATTGTGGTATTTCCGACTCTTCATAATCAAAAGAAAGCGTAGTAAAAGCATAAATTGCGTCTTCAAGTTGAAATGCCTAAGCGAAACTCCTTTCTCTTCATGCAAGACTCTTAGACAAATGGAATTGTTAAGGGTTAATGATCACTGCCCCATTTCATTACTTTCATGCAATCCAATTTAAATAGACAAGCTTCCTTAACAAACTCAGCCTCCTTCATCAGCTTCCGCTAATCAAAGCCGAAGAGCTGACGAGCTCCATCTTGTAACAAAAAAGTTGGAAGTTTTAAGAGGCATCAGTTGTACCTTCACTCAACACATTTTTATTTATATTTAATTTGTCTTCTTTATGATTTTTTTTTCATTCTATTTTTATGATTGTTAAGTCCAATATCACACAACTTATTTTAAGCAAATGTGAATTCATATTTACACAAGAGTATTTTGGTAAATGTGGATAACTAAACGCCAATTAAAACCCAGAATTTAAAAGTTCGGTTTTTTTCCCTTGTCCAGCCATTTTATACTGGAGGAGATCGCCCCCCTTATTTTGATCGATAAGAGCAAGTCCAGCAGCACAGCCCAGCCCGAGGGGAGGGGGGAAAAAAACAAAAAACCGTTTCCAGCCCGGCAGC